TCAGTAACCACCTCCCCTCACCCTCAGTAACCACCTCCCCTCACCCTCAGTAACCACCTCCCCTCACCCTCAGTAACCACCCCCCCCCTCCCCCTCAGTAACCGGCTCCCATCTCTTGCAGCGTGCGTCAGCGATGGCGTCTACTGTATATAACTCCTATTTCCTACCTTCACCTCTCACCATCACCCTCTCCCCCTCCCTCACCCTCAGTAATCTCCTCTCACCCCTTCCCTCACCCTCAGTAACCACCTCCCCTCACCCTCAGTAACCGGCTCCTACCTCTTGCAGCGTGCGTCAGCGAGGGCGTCTACTGTAACTGCGACGCGGGGCAGGCGCGCTGGCTCGGCGACGAGGGCTGGATCCGGCAGAAGGAGCATCTCCCCGTCGCGCAGGTGCTGGTCGGAGACACGGGCGCTCCAGACGACGACAGCGAGGCGTACTGGAGCCTGGGACCGCTGCGATGCACCGGAGACAGTGAGTAGGGGGGAGGAGGTTATGCGGACCGGGCAGGAGAGGGGTTGAGCGCAAAGGTTGAGTTGAAATTTTGTTAGGGCAGGTTGGCGTCAGTTAGTTGCGTCGAGTTGCTAACTTGGATTGCTCAAGTGTGGTTTGAGTTAAAAGTTTGTTAGTGCAGGTTGGAGACAGTATAAGTGGGGTGGAGTCACTAACTTGGATGGCTACCTCAAGTGGGGGTCGAGTTAAAAGTTTGTTAGAGTAGGTTGGCAACAGTAAGTGGGGTGGAGTCACTAACTAGGATTCCTCAAGTGGGGGTCGAGTTAAGATTTTGTTATCAACTTGACAACAGTGAGTGAGGCGGGGTTGTGAAGACCACATGGGAGTGTTGTCAAACCTTGCCCCCTCACCACCTTCACACATCCTCCGACCTTCTGCTCTGTTGACATCCAACTGACCGTTCCCCTCGGTTCTTTCAGCGTTGTTCGACAACATGGTGACGTTCCGCAAGGAGGACGCGTTCGTGGCGTTCCCGCGGCCGCCGCTGCGCGGATCGTTCGACATCTACCTGCAGTTCAAGACGACGGTGGCGGCCGGTGTGCTCGTGTACTGCGACGGACCGCAGGACAACTTCCTCAAACTCACGCTTACCGGTATGCAAAGACTGCGCGGGGGCAAAAACTTTCCTGTTCCTCCTCCCCTTCCTTCGTTCTCAAGTCCTGTTCTTTGCTGTGTCATTGCTACGCATGGTATACTATGTTTATTTGCTATGTCTTTCATGCAGGTAGTCGAAGTTCTACGTCAGTCTATGGTAGTCCATGTAACAACTCGCGTAACAATACCCTCACATAACAACACCCTCACATAACAACACCCTCACATAACAACATGAGGATGTTGTTATGTGAGAGCATAACAACACCCTCACATAACAACACCCTCACATAACAACACCCTCACATAACAACACCCTCACATAACAACACCCTCACATAACAACACCCTCACATACCAACACCTCGCGATTCTTCATCTTCCGCAGCTTCATCTTCCGCTTCTTCATCTTCCGCAGGCGCTCGCTCGCTGCAGCTGCAGTACAACGCTGGCGGCGCGATGCAGATCCTGCAGGTGAAGGTGGCGCCGGCGTTGCGACTCGACGACGACGCGTGGCACGCCGTGCAGATGGAGCGCAATGGCCGCCAGGCGAAGGTCGTCGTTGACGGCGGCAAACCGACTGCAATCGCCGAGGCGGCGGCCATCTTCCGCGAGCTGGAACTGACGAGCGACCTGACGATCGGTGAGCGAGGGAGGAGGGGTGGAGGCTGGGGGAGGAGGAGGAGGGGGAGGCTGGTGGAGGGAGGAGGGTGAGGGGAAGGTCGTCGGTGGCGATCGCCAAGGCGGCGGCCATCGCGAGCTGGAACTGACGAGCGACCTCACGATCTGGAACATTCACACAGTGTACACGTGTATTCGTTGTCGGCTGCAGGAGCGAAGACAGATCGCACGGAGGGCTTCGTCGGCGTCATGCGGGCGCTCATGGTCAACGGTGAGATGCTGGACCTTCGCGGCGCGGCCGAGCGCGGCGTCTACGGAGTCCTGCCCGGCGACGCGCCCAAGTGCGCCAGCGCCCCCTGCATGAACAACGGAACGTGCCTGGAGCGCTACTCGTCGTACGCGTGCAACTGCACGCTGACGCCATTCGACGGGGAGATCTGCACCGAGGGTGAGCGGAGTCCGATTTATAGAGGGCGCTGTTGTTTTGTCTTCGACGGTGTTGTCGCGATTCTTTTTCTTGTTGCTACTGAAGCTTTGTTGGTTGCGTACGAAAAATACGAAATTAAGGAAAAGCCGAGAGGGAAAGGAGAAAACTTTGTCGAACCAATAAATTTCTTTTTTCACCAACATCTTTTGATTTGCACGACCACCCGGCGACCATAACTAACGTCACCTGACGACCGTAACTAAGTCTTTCTGGTGATCGTAACTAAGGCTCCCTAGCAACCATAACTAAAGCTCCCTGGCGACCGTTTAGTTACGGTTGCCGGGGAGCCTTAGTTACGGTCGCCGGGGAGCCTTAGTTACGGTCGCCGGGGAGCCTTAGTCAGTTACGGTCGGGAAGGTCGTAGCGGATGCGCTGTGGAGCTCGCAGCTTCACGCCAATCTCTGCGGAGGAGGATGCGCGGGAAAGTTTCCCCGGCAACCGTAACTAACGCTCCCATCTTCCTCCCGCGCATCCTCCTCCGCAGAGATTGGCGTGAAGCTGCGAGCTCCTCAGCGCATCCGCTACGACCTTCCCGACTTCGGCCTGCGCAGCACCGCGACCGAGCGAATCCGCGTTGGACTGAGCACGACGCGACCCCAGGGGGCGCTGATGTCTGTCTACTCCGCTGGCCGCGACTTCTTCTCGATGGAGTTCACCGAGGAAGGTGAGGAGAGGGGAGCGGGGAAGGGAGGGGTGAGGGAGAGAGGAGCAGGGAGGGGGAGGGATGAGGACATGGGAGTAGGGAGGAACGAAGGAGAGAGGACCAGAGAAGGGAGGGTGAGGAGAGAGGCGTGGGGAAAGGAGGGGTGAGGTGAGAGAGAGGACCGGAGGAGGGGAGGGATGAGAGGAAGAAGAGAGATAAACAGAGAAAGAAACGGTTGTGCACAAATGCAAACAGGCGAGAGGTGTAGTGCGGTGTAACGGAGAAGTGGGGGAGAAGGAAGAAACGCGACGCAAGGGGGACGAAGAAAGATATACAATCGATAAATTCGATGTATTGTTGCGGGTTGTCATGTGGCGTGCGTGTATGTGTGTGTGTGGGCGCGTGTGCGTGCATGTGCGT